TATATAAATCTGAACCAAATCGTATGAAAATTAGCACACGTCATTGCAGACTTAATTCAGTACGCTGTGCCAAATTTCGAGCAAATCGAATGATTTTCAGGGACTTTGGTGCACCATTTACCTAAAATCGGGCGAAACTATATATCGGAGCTATATGTAAATCTGGGCCGATTTTCTTCATTCTAGACTTAATTCATTTCATTCTAGACTTAATTCAGTACGTTGTGTCAAATCGAATGATTTTCAGGGACTTTGATTGGTATATAATAAACATGAAACTTGCCAGAGATTAATTTATATTAACTTCAGTACGTTTGGTCCATCGGCCTATCCATGTATCTTTAGTGCACAATTTACTTAAAATCGGACGATAATATATATATATATATATATATATATAGGAGCCGATTTTCACGAAACTTAGCACATCATTCTCGACTTAATTCATTACGCTATGCCAAATTTCGTGAAAATAGAAGGATATATAGGGACTTTGGTGCTCCAAATATCTAAAATCGGACGAAAATATATATGGTAGCTATATCTAAATCTGAACGGATTTTCATGAAACTTAGCACACCTTATTATAAACGCATTTCAGAACGCTTTGCGAAATTTCGTGCAAATCGAAAGATATATAGGGACTCTAGTGCAACATTTACATAAAAGCGGACGAAAATATATATGATAGCTATATCTAAATCTGAACCGATTTTCACGAAATTTTGCATACATAATTCTAGACTTAATTTAGTAAGCTGTGCGAAAATTCGTGCAAATCGAATGATTTTTAGGGACTTTCAGTACGCTTTGTCAAATTTAGTGCAAATCGAAAGATATATAGTGACTTTGGTACACTATTTACATTAAATCGGACGAAAATATATATGCGAGCTTTATCTAAATCTGAACCGATTTTCAACAATTTCAATAGGGTTCGTCCTTGGGCCAAATAAATGAGCTGTGCCAAATTTCATCCAAATAGGTTTATAAATGCGATCTGTACTTGGTTCACAATTTAACATCAACAGTCGGATGGACGGAAGGTAATTCTATGAATATTCTCGAAAGGAACCATTTGTCTATCTCGATTTATTTTGCCTGTTACAAACATATGCACAAAGACATAATACCCTGTACCACAGTGTGGTGAAGGGTATAACACATATTGTGCGATGTGCATCTTTAACATCGAAAACGAGCATAAATCTCAAATTGTTTGATCAATACTTTACGAGATCTGCTGTTTATATGGGGGTCACAACAAAACTTGAAGCAATACTGCAATTCACTTTTCCGCGAAGGTGGTTTTACACTCAAAAAGAGCTCGGAACGAAAACTTCAGTTCTTTCTGTTTGAAAACGCAGCTAAAATCTTTTAAATACTGATCGTGGACCAATATAGCCCCAATCGCCAATACCAAACATCCTGGGAGTTGAAGGCAATGTATGCTCAAAATTCAAATAGATATCCAAAATATTGCGAGCCATCCATGCCAAGGAGTCTCGGACGAATATTTAGAAATTGCGTAGATTAAACAAGCCAGGACTTTCGAATTGGCAGGCAAATATCAAACCATTTTCCTCAAAACGTGGTTTCTACAGTATTATCTGACTATGCTTGACCACAAACATTTTCTCTATGCGCGAGAATGAAAAATAAATCATTTTGGTGCCACATCACAGCTGTGCGGCAGATGATCCATCTATTCCTCATTTTAGCCGGTAAAAAGGCGTTGTCTTTCGGCCGATGAGACCACGCACTGTCATGGTGTACATTGATTCGAACGTTTAACCATTTGCTTCGAAATGATTCGTCCACGAAAAACTTTCCTAGAATTTGGTTGTGCAGTTTTTTTGAGGCCAGATGATACCTGACCACCCATTATGTTTTGTAGTCCAGAAAAATATAGTGTAGTCCTCGTATTCTGTATCGAACCACTGTGTACTAAACACTCGGCGAAAACATGACACTGAAAAATGAACGGTGCGAAAAAATGAATTATGCACCACCATAAAAATGTTAATATTCAAACATTTTGTCGGCCATTAAAATTAGTTAAATGTGTTCTTTACTTGGGCGCAACGTTTCTCTTGTTAACAAAAAAAACAAGCCCATTGAACAGCAAACACATTCTACTTGAACGAACAAAAAGAACGAAAACCCCAAAATGCGTTAAAAAGTCTCGTAAGAAAAGAGCGTAAAACAATCTTATGAGACTATGGAGTCCTTTCCGCACATAGCTAAGACTCCTTCAGCAACAGCTGTTTCATTTAAATAGGTTGGCTGCTTCGTTGGTTGTTACCATTAAAACCAGACGACTTGCCATCCACATTGTTTTTATAATTTTCCTACTACCACTACCCGCCACAGCCACTTCATTCACAACATCAGTGAAAAGGCGTGAGAGTTATGTTGCCCTCGCCATAGCTGGCCAGCCAGGAAACACTGCACTGCAAACGGATGCGAATACAACAAAGCAACAAACATCAATGAAAAAAAAACGGAGCTAATGAAAAACCATTGAATAGCAACACCGCACCATTAACTTAAGTGGCTTTTTAAATTGAACGCACGTATTTTTATGGGTCGCTCGGTCGGTCGGATGGTTCATTGTTTTCACGGCATTCGGGGTATATTTTAAATGTTGTCCGGGCAAAATAATGATTTTTCTTTCAATGTAGTGTATTCCGGGAAAGCTGCGGGGGGTTTGAAGGAAATATTTTCTATGAGCATTCTAAATAAATCAAGCCAAAAATGGATGGGAATAACGATACTCTCTAGTATAAAAAAAATAAAATCATTCGCCTTTTTAAAGAATATTTTTTCAAAGACCATCAGACCATTAGGTGTGGATTTTTTAAAGAATATTTTTTCAAAGACCATCAGACCATTAGGCGTGGATTTTTTAAAGAATATTTTTTCAAAGACCATCAGACCATTAGGCGTGGATTTTTTAAAGAATATTTTTTCAAAGACCATCAGACCATTAGGCGTGGATTTTTTAAAGAATATTTTTTCAAAAATCATCAGACTATTAGGCGTGGATTTTTTAAAGAATATTTTTTTCAAAGACCATCAGACCATTAGGCGTGGATTTTTTAGAGAATATTTTTTCAAAGACCATCGAGATGTACGGAGTCAGAATTAATTGCGGAAAATTTACCAACGAGTAAACACAAAAACGAAGGCTTTGGTGCAGGCACATCTTCTTGTAGAGATGAAGAAGGAAACCTGGTGACAGATACAGACAGCTTGTTGAGGATCTGGAAGGGCATTTCGAAAAGCTTCTGGTATCAAATAGTGGCGATGAAGATGATACCACAGAACAAATAGGAGAGTGTATACCACCTAGCCAAGATGAGGTCAGAAAGCAATTAATCGGCTGAAGAACAATAAGCAGCAGGAGCCGAACTATTCAAGACTGGTGCATCAGGAGCATGCACCAGCTGATTAGTACAATTTGGCTAGAGGAATGCATGCCCAATGATTGGAACCTCAGACAATACGATGTGTGCCAACTATAGATGAATTAGTCTTCTTCCCATCGCATATAAAGTGCTATCCAGTGTGCGATGTGATCGAATAAAGCCAAGGGTCAGTGACATTATTGGACCATACCAATGCGGCCTGGCAAATCCACTATTGACCAGATGTTCACTCTGCGCCAGATCCTGGAAACCCCCACGAAAAACATATCGACACATTCCACATATTCGTCGACTATAAAGCCACATTCGACAGGTATAAAGGTATAAAGCCATGTCTGCGTTCGGCATTCCTGCAAAATTAATACAGCTATGCAGGATAACTTTAAGTGGCACAAGGTCAGCAGTCAAAGTAGGAAAGGATCTCTCGGAACCCTTCAATACCGAACGAGGATTCAGACAAGGTGACAGTTTGTTGTGTGATATTTTTTACATTCTGCTGAAAAAGGTCATACGAGACACAAAGGTGAACAGAAAGTGCACCCTGTACACCAAACAACACAAGTTACTCCAATATGCCGATGACATCGATAAAATGGGTCAAACATTGCGAGCGATAACAGCCACCTTTGAACAAATTGAGAAGGAGTCTGCTAAGGTGGGACTGGCAGTAAATGACGAGAAGACCAAGCTGATGTTATCAACGCGCAAGACGTCCAGTAGACTTTGACCAAGTATGGAACTTGAGAACTACAGCTTCGAGGTAGTTAAAGATTTTATATACCTTGGTACCGCCATAAATAAAACTAATGACATCCGTTTTGAAATTCTACTATGATCTAAGTCAGAAGTTTAGAATCAAGACTAAACACACACTTTGCAAAACGCTAATACTACCCGTGCTGTTATATGTTTCTGAAGCATGGGTACTTGCTCAAGCAAATGAGGCAGCTCTTGGGGTGTTTGAGAGAAAAATTCTACGAAAGATCTATGGGCCGATCTGCGTGGACGGTGAATATCGGCGTCGAATGAACCATCTATACGCGGACATGGACATAATCAGTCGTATTGAGCTGCAGCGACTACAGTGGCTAGGCCATGTTGACCGAATGAATGAGAATGCCCCAGCTCAAAAGACATATAAAAGCGAGCCTACTGATACTTCACGCAGAAGGGGAAGGCCACGAATTAGATGGAAAGACCAAGTGTAATTTCAATATTATCTTATTTTGTTTTATAATATTGTTGTTTACCACATTTGTGTTTTTCAATTTTTCCACTAGAAGCACCCTATTTATCATATACGGATATAAAAAATTTTAAATCTTAATTATTTTGGAAGTTTTTATTTTGAGCACATGCGAAAATTATTGTTACCGTAGAAAGTGATATCATCACTGATATCACTTTCACTTTCATCTAGAAAAATACAATAAACCAACAACAAAAATTGCCAGAAGATTGGCCTCCTATTTTTCTATAAAGTGGTAGATGCAGTTGGGCCCAGCCAGGTAGAAGAACGTAGACAGTTGAATTTGTGTTAAAGGGAGTATCAAAAAGTTATCTAGAAATATGCCGGAAGAATATATTCAAATTGTACACGATCCTCAAGCCAATGTATGGAAATCGGTAAACTATCCTTATGGCGACTTGGCCAAATATTCGGTGGGTGAAAAATTCCTACAGACAATGCGCAGCATAGATGCCAATAAGGTTATCGATCATTTCTATGACACAAATGCAATTAAAACGGCCAAGGATGTTTACGAACAATCGATTTTAATTGCCATCAATTTGCAACTCATGGGTGTTCAGCATGGCGATTGTGTCATTTTCTTTTCCATGAACAACGAGTGGACATCGGTCTTGACAATGGGTTCGATTTTAATGGGTGCAGTGCCGAATTTCTTTGAAGTTTATTTGGATAATGGTAAGTTTAAATTGAATTATTTACCGAAGGAAAATGTGAATGTGTGACAAAAATACTGAAAACCCAGCATGTAAACGCAGATTATCTCGATGATGAATTTCGCATTACATAATTACTTAGCCGGCTTGTTAAAGAACGGTTGTTCCATTAGCCGAGCTTAAAAAAGATTTCCAAGCGCGTCGGTCTTGTGCGCAAATTTACCAATTTGGAAGGGGCATTCTCATTCATCCGCACAACATGGCCTAGCCACCGTAGTCGCTGCAGTTCAATACGACTGACTATGTCGATTTATTTTCAATTTGTTCAAAGATGGCTGTTACCGCTCGCAATGTTCGACCCATTATATCGATGTCATCGGCGTAGGCGAGTAACTGATGTTGTTTGGTGTACAGAGTGCCATTTCTGTTCACCTTTGCGTCTCGTATGTCCTTTCCCAGCAGGATGTTAAAAAGATCACACGACAAACTGTCACCTGGCCTGAATCCTCGTTCGGTATTGAAGGGCTCCGATAGGTCCTTTCCTACTTAAACTGCCGTATTAATTTTGCAGGAATGCCGAACGTAGACATGGCTTTAAACACATCTGAACGGATAGGGCTGTCGAATGCGGCTTTATTGTCGACAAATAGCTGGTATGTGTCGATGTGTTTTTCGTGGGTCTTTTCCAGGATTTGGCGCAGAGTGAAAATCTGGTCAATGGTGGATTGACCAGGTCTGAAGCCGCATTGGTATGGTCCGATGATGTCATTTACCATTGGCTTCAATCGTTCACACAGCACACTAGATAGCACTTTATATACGATGGGAAGGATACTTATTCCTCTATAGTTGACACATATCGTCTTGTCTCCTTTTTTGTGCAAGGGACACAGGATGCTGAGGTTCCAATCATTGGGCATGCATTCATCTAGCCAAATTGTACTAATCAGCTGGTGCATCCTCCTGACCATCATCTGGCCACCAGTCTTGAATAGTTCGGCTGGTAACCCATCGGCTCCTGCTGCTTTGTTGTTCTTGAGCCGATTAAGCGCTTTTATGACCTCATCTTGGCTAGGTGGTATACACTCCATACCATTATCTCTTATTGGTTCGGGGGTATCATCTTCAACGCCACTATTTGATACTAGAAGCTTTTCAAAGTGATTCTTCCAGATCCTGTGTGCAGCTGTCTGTATCTGTCACCAGGTTTCCTTCTTCATCTGTACAGGAGGATGTGCCTGCACCAAAGCCTTCGGTTTGGTGCTTTACTCATTGGTAAAATTTCCGGACTTCATTCCGACTCCTGTACATATCGATTTGCTCATGCTCAACTTGTTCTTGTTCTTTCTGAAAACACGTTTCTCCTCTCTCCTTTTCTCCCCATAATTCTCATTCACGTTACTGTCTGCAGAGTTACCCTATACGCTGCGTTTTTCACATTAGTAGCATTACGACACTCCTGATCGTACTATTGGGTTCTTGGTGGTGGATTTTGGTACCCAAGTTTTGCTTTTGCTGCAGTTTGTAGGGAGTGGGCAATTCTTTGCCATTGTGCTTCTATACTATTATCGGGACAAGAAGTGGTTTCTTCAAGCAGATGGGTAAGTTGAGCGGAGTAGGCCTCAGCTACCTGTTTTGTTTGCAGCTTTTCGACGTCGAGTTTCCGTGTTCTGTTAGATCGCACCTTTGCTGCTACATTAAGACGGGTGCGTACCTTGGCTGTCACAAGGTAATGGTCCGAATCGATATGCGTTCCTCGGATCAATCGGACGTCTAAAACACTGGATGAATGCCTTCCGTCTATCACAACATGATCAATTTAATTTCTCGTTGCTTGATCAGGAGAGATCCAGGTGGCCTTGTGTATAACGGGATGCTTGAATATGGTGCTGCTAACTACCATGTGTTTTGCTGTCGCGAAGTCAATCAACCTCATGCCGTTGTCGGATGTTTCTTCATGAAGGTTAAATTTTCCGACGGTGGGGCCAAAGATATTTTCCCTTCCGATTTTTGCATTTAAATCTCCTAGCATAATTTTAATGTCATGGCCAGGGCAACGGTCATATGCTGTTTCTAGGCGCTCGTAAAATATGTCTTTGGTCGTTCATCTTTATCTTCGGTCGGAGAATGGGCGCAAATGAGACTGATCTAGAAGAACTTCGCTTTTATACGGATTATAGCAATTCGCTCATCTACTGGAGTGAATCTGGAGCCAAGGTCTTTTATTCTCTTGTTAACCATAAATCCGCAGCCAAATTCATGTCTCGTTTCATGGCAGCTATAATACAGGGCGTAATCGTCTGATTTACTTACGCCTGTCCCTTTCAATCGCATTTCTTGTAAGGCAATAATATCGGCTTTGTACTTCTTGAGTACATCCGCCAAAGCGAACACTGCTCCTGTTCTGTACAACGTGCGCACATTCTAAGTGCAGATTCGCAGATCGTGGTCCTTTATACGTTTGCCAAGATAACCCTGGACTTCGCCATGTTAAAGCCAATCAGAGCCGTTGCTTGGTATCTATCATCCCCTACGCCACCCGATGAATTTTGTATATTTAGAAAAATAATAAGACCAGTTAAAATCTAAAAAAGATAGTTCCTAGAGATAAGAGCTTTATCCATCTAAGAACCTTAATAATGTCGTTTATTCCTTGACTGTGAATACACACAATTTGAGACATTCCGATTAGATTTGCAGTAATTATATCTAGAAAAATAACAGAACAGTAGCAGAGGCCAAATTTCTCTTCCAGAAATCATATTTAAAAAATAGGATCAATCAAGGTTAAAAATTTAAACGTTTGTGTTGTTTGTGGCTCCATTCTTTTTTTAAATAAATCTATAAATTTTTTTTCTTTCCAGACTCCACCAGTGGCTTATTTAATATCTATTTTCTACGAAGAAAAATATCTGAATAAAATTCAAAGATGCCTTAAACAGAGTACAGTACAAAAACAAACCCAGTTAATCTCCATGAATTGTGTACAGCTACCCAATGTAAAAACTGATCTACTACAGACACCCGAACAACCTGTAGATTTTACCAACTTCAAAAGTATAGAAGTCAAGGATACCCGAAAAGAAACCCTAGTTTTAGTTCTGACATCTGGTTCCACAGGCCTGCCGAAAATTGTACAACTGTCACATGCCCTTATGATGTATGGAATTCATGCCTGGTGGGATAATGCCGAACATGATGGTGTCTTAGTGGTTTTCTCATTCAGCCCCTTGCGTTGGATTAGTCAAATTCAGGTTATGCTCCAATCTTTAGTATTAGGTATAAAGCGTGTTAGTTCATGTGCTGCCACCGGAAAGACCGGATTGGAATTGTTGCGCAATTGAGATGTAACACATTTGGTAGGACCTCCATCGATTTACTATGAAGTCCTGCTGCATTTGGATGAAAATGATACACAGAGTTTGGCAAGTCTGCGTAAAGTAATGCTGGGTGGCGAGACACCATCGAAGGCCATATTCGATTTATCGAAGAAACATGCTGTAAATGCTACGCACTATCGTGGTTATGGAATGACCGAAACGAGTACTTTGATTTGTTGTAATTTACACATAAATGGTGGCAAACCGGCACTGGGTTATGAAATTCAAATTTTGGACGATAAGCTCCAGCCATTGGGTGTTAATCAACCCGGGCAAATAGCCTTGAGTCCGCCGTACCCCTTGAAGGGTTACATGGCCATGGATAATTCAAAATACTATAATGAAAGGGGTCTATTCATTAATGGCGATTATGGTTACATGGATGAGGAGGGTAATTTGCACATCTTGGCAAGGTATAAGGATTTAATTAAATCTAATGGTGAAGTGGTAAGTAGGAAAATATGCCATTTAAGTTTATTTTTTAATTAATAATATTTCCTTTAATTATAGATCATTCCCAACACCTTGGAAGCTGCTGTCACCAATGCACCCGAAGTTTATGTTGCCCTCTTGGTTGGCTTTCGTACCGTAGCAAATGATCCCAATGAAACTGGAGCCTTCTTTGTTAAACTTCATGCTAATGCTACTACCACCCATAAAGAAGAAATATCCAAGAAAGTATTGGGTATAATGAAACAACATCTTACCGATAAACAATTGACAATTATTAAGAATATTCACATTATTGACTCAATACCATTGACCGTGTGTGGAAAGTATGATCGTGGTGCCTTGAGAAAATTGGCTGAATGTAAATCGTATAATGAAAAATAAGTGTAAAATTTTATTTTAATTGGTATATGTACCTAATATTTGTATTATAAAGATAATTAAAATTTCGACCGGATCAGCTTAAGCTTCTCATATCCGAACACACATAAATTTCGAATAAATTGTAAAGGGTTATAATTTCCGTGGTTTCGAAAATATGGGACTGGATTTCAAAATCTGTCAAACTAAGTTGTAAAACCATTTCTCTTCTCTTTTATTTTAATTAAGGTACCCCCTTTCTCGGTGTCAAAATTTTTTTGATTTAATTCGAATCTACTCTAATTCTAGAATGTCCCTACAAAATTTCAAGTGAAAATCTCAACAACTCTTGAAGGTGTAGCCGATTTATTGTGTCAGCGTCAAGTGACGGCAAGAGTGATTCTCAAACTTTCAACTCATTTTCCTCGAAGCAGTGTTTTACGAATGTCGGACACGATAACTCAAACACTAATAATACAATCGATTCCAAATTTTGACACGTTTGTCTGTGAGTATATAGCTATCGTATGAACTAGGATAAAGCCAATCGGTGAAGATCTTCCTTCTTTTTTAACTTGGTTTTTGGTCAAAAATCGGCGATTTTCCAATTTTTGTTTTTTCAAAGTTCCGCCATTTTTTTTAATTGTTGTGCGATGTCAATAATCCTAGTTCATACGATAGCTATACAATCAGAGACGAACGTGTCAAAATTTGCAATCGGTTGTATTATTAGTTTTTGAGTTATCGTGTTTACCGAAATCGAACACGACTTTTGTGTCTTCTATTGCAGAATACGACTTGGAGTATATGTGGTTTCAAAAAGATGGTGCCACATAGAACCATGGCTTTATTGCAAGATACATTTCCTGATCGCGTAATTTATTGTCGTGCCGATATGAATTGGCCACCATGAAAAAAATAGGATGAATCGAATTCCCATCTGCGAAGCCTTGGCCAAACGGAATGAGATAGACCCATTTCTTAAACGGATGGTGAATGAAGATGAGTAATTGATCACATACGATAACCCTGTGCGAAAACAATCGTGGTCAAAGAGCGCTGAAGCACCTCAAATGGTGGCCAAACCAGGACTAACGACCAGGAAGGTTCTGCTATGTATTTGGTGGGACTGGAAAGGGATTTTTTATTTTGAGTTGCTTGCGTTTGGCCATAATCTAAATTCTGACCTCTACTGTCAACAACTGGACCGTTTGAAGATAGCAATTGACCAGAAAAGGTCAACAGAAGAGGTGTCTACAGTGACTCACCAGAAACTTCGTGAGCTTGGTTAGGAAGTTTTAATGCATCCGTCATACATTCCAGGGAGCAGGAATTCTATGAGAGGGACATTATGAAGTTACCTTTAAAATTGCAAAAAATAATACAACGAAATCGGACATTCCAAAGTATGTTGAATAAATATCTGAGTACGTAAGCACCAGTAAATATTTAAGTGTAACCCCCATATCCGAGTACATAGTACAATGTAATTGGTATCGATTTAAAGGTCATCCACTCCTCTAGGATATACAATCAACTTCTCGGGTCTATGTCCTTCAGGAGTAAATATATACGCCATAGAATACAAATTTTGTTATTTTTCACACAAAAGTCAGGGTCCATTTGACTTGCTAAATATTGACCAATCTTTATCAAAACAGGCATGCTTATTCCTTGGCCCGATCCCCTTTTCCATGTAAAATTTCGTGCTACAATTGCGGCCTCTGGAGCGATTAGAAAAACCGACAAAAATAAAGTTTTGGTCCATTTCATCCCCTAAATATTAACTGATCTTTACCAAAAACAATATGGGTCTTCATTAGCCAAAACCCATCCTACATGCAAAATTTCGTGAAGATTGGTCCATAACTGTGGCCTGTATCCTGTTTACACATTATAATGGACAGACGGACGGACGGATACACATGTCTAGATCGACTCAACTAGTCTAGATATGACGATCGGTATACTTAAGGGAACCCCCCCCCCCCCATTCTCGATTTTAATTTTTCAAGATTTTCAATGGGCTGGTAAATCAATACCAATGCTTGTTAAGGTTTGTAACTTTGCACATATATATTTGAAGATTTAAAAGAGAAGAAAAATAATTTACAAAAAATTTTTGTTATTGTTTTGTTGTTGTTTTTTGCGATTAAAGAGAAGTCCTTATTTTTGATGGCGGGCATGATAACTCCTCACTGGAACATCGGAATCCGAAAATTCCAAGGGTGTTAGAAAGAGTACATGTCTGGCTCTCGTATGAACTAGGATTATTGACTTCGCTCTAAAATTAAGAAAATGGCGGACCTTTAAAAAAATATTTTTGGAAAATCGCCGATTTTTTACCAAAAACCAAGTTAAAAAATAAGGAAGATCTTCGCCGAGTGGCTTTATCCTAGTTCATACGATATCTATACACTCACAGAGAAACGTGTCAAAATTTGAAATCGATTGGGTTATTAGTTTTTGAGTTATCGTGCCCGCCATTCGCAAAAGAGAAAAACGCGTTTAAAGTTTTGGAAGTCCTTTAGCCGTCACTTGATGCTGACACAATAAATCGGCTATATCTTCAAGAGTTCTAGAGATTTTCACTTGAAATTTTGTAGGGACGTTCTTGCATTAGTGCAGATTCGAATTAAATCAAAAAATTTTTTGACCCCGAGAATGGGGGGGCCCCCTTAAAGGTGGGTCTTGGACCAATATTTCGCGGCGTTACAAACTCTTGGGGCTGCACAAAGCTATAATACCCTGACAACATAGTTGTGTAGGGTATAAAAATGTATGTTTTGAAATGAAATTTGGGTAATGAGAGCAGATTAAATATAAACAAGTTAAGATGATGTTAAGTTCAGCCCATGCGGATTACATTCAAAATATTAAAAAAAAACTTTAACATATCGAAGAAAATGAGAAAAATATGATTTTCTAATTTTGGGTAGTGAAATTTGAGAGCCAATGAGAATACAATTGCAGCCAATTCGTTTGTAAAATGTGTCCAAAAATCCGAACATACCGACTGGGTAAAAATAATAATTTTTAGTACAGTATCGTTTTATGGGGGCTACCTTGAAACTTGGATCAATATTAATAATTTTTCGTAGGAACGTGTGTTATACCAAATTACAGCTAACGCGGTTGAACACGTGTCCAAATACGCCAAAATACCGAATATTGGCGGTACAGTTATCCGTACCGAAAATCCGAACATACCGACTTGGGTAAAAATAATAATTTTTAGTACAGTATCGTTTTATGGGGGCTACCCTGAAACTTGGATCAATATTAATAATTTTTCGTAGGAACGTATGTTATACCAAATTACAGCTAACGCGGTTGAACACGTGTCCAAATACGCCAAAATACCGAATATTGGCGGTACAGTTATCCGTACCGAAAATCCGAACATACCGACTTGGGTAAAAATAATAATTTTTAGTACA